ACCCAGCAGCATCTTATTGAGCGAATCGAAAGCGTCCAGTGGAGGGCGTCCAGAACAATATGCTGCAGGGCACTTGGATATGACTCTGGACTGGACACCAGCTACTGTGACCGGCTGAAGGCGCAAAGCTCACAAATCTTTTTGGGGGCCTGAACGCTTCACCCTCGATGCACGGCAAGTTGCACCAGAAGATTGCGGCGAAAGTGCACAATGCAGCAATGAGTGACGCGATGAGGGATGCTGCGCAAGCCGTCAGGGATGTGCAACCGACCGGGGACCCGAGCGCTGGCAGCGATCGTTTAGATGTCTGCATCAGCTACGATAGCATGTGGCATAAATCTGGTCATACATCGCAGTTCGTAGTCGGCGTAGCGACTGAACTGGAGACCGGCTAGTAGCTTGACTTTTCGGTCCAAAGCAAGTATTGCCATGGGTGCGAGTTGAGCCCCAAGGAAGACGACGAACACTTTAAGGAGTTTTTCAATGAACCGGGAACCGCCACGCACATCTGGTCAAGTTCTGGTTCGGTAAATAATAATTGTTCTGGTCCAGTTTTCGGTTTGGTTTCGTTTTTACACCATAATGTTTTCCCTGGCATTTATTCCTTTGCAGGCGTGGCTGTCCAAAGCCCTTTGGGAAGCGAGTCAGGTGTTCCGGGAAGTCCCCAGCAAGCCGAAGGGAACTCGGCAGAGGTTGAGCAACAGTTGCGCCAGTGGTGTTCCACCCCTACAGAGGACGAGACGCCAAGCCCCTTGTCATTGGAGCGGGATGCCACTCCTGAACCCTTGGAACCTGGGGCTACTCCTTTGGAGACCAGTAACACGGGGGCTGACTTCATGGACTCTGATGAAGATATGTGTCCTGAGCCAGATCCGTTGGATGAGCGCTACAGGTCAAACGGCTCTCAGCTCCAATGATAAACCAGACTCTTCAGACACCAGCATCTGGTCCAACGGCCCTTTGCGCTCGGACGGTGGAACAGATGTCGAGTATATGTCCAATGCAATTTTTCAGAAACCGGAACTCCATTTTATGAACAGGATTAAGCTAAATCTAAGAATCTGGGAAACCTGCAATTATCTGGAACTTTTCTTCACCTGGAAAAGTTAGAGAAATATCAGGGAAACAGTCAAAAGGTTGGCTATATCAGAAAAAATGACCAATGAAAGTGGCACGACAGTACACAACGAAGCTCGACAGTCACACATCAGCACGGCTGCACCCAATAATGTTCCCTGAAACATCATCAGATAGTGCAAGCCATTACCTGATTTAATTAATTAAGTTATTTATTAAGATATACTAACAGTTCCCAAATGAAACTAGTAGAGTGGTACATGGGTGTTTGTTGTCACACATACAGTATATGGTGCAGTGGAAGAGCCTCTATCACTACATCTTATAAAACGCATGACGAGCACACTTGGTTATTCGGACCAGGTTGAAATAATGGCCAGGGAATTTAATCGGTCTGGGGGAACCTGGAAAAGTCAATGAATATGAAAGGAGGAGCTTGGTAGATAACCCGGTTGTATGGAAAGAACTGTGAGATAATGGCAGAATAGAAAAAAATTTGAAGGGTGAAGAAAGAGCTGCTTTTGAAATTTCAAGACTATAATCTTTTTGGTTTATTCTTATTTTTTTTAACAGAGAAGGGGTGTACAATGTGTCCTCAACAGCAGTGGACCCGATAAAGGAAAGAAAGTACCTGGTAACTCCATCCCAGCTACTGCTGTTTTCTGTTTGCGTCAACTGCCTGGCTCCAACACTGACGAAGCCACACGTATGCCGTCGTCCTTTGTGTGTGTATGTGTTTTTTTTTTTCCTTCTATATCATGTCCTATCCTTGTTTTGAACGTCCTTTTCTGTCACAGCGAGCACTACGTTGGTGAGCAGGGCCACAGCAAGCCAGCTGCTTGACGTGGTGATGGAGGCACTTATCGCCCTGCACATAATCCTCATGATCGGGACCAACGATTTACGGGGCGAATGTGATGCGTACACAGCCTGATCTCCGACCTGGCCATCATACTAGGATGGATTACACCTCATGCGGAAAGGTGGCGGTACTGACGCTGCCTCCCATTGCGCTGCATCAGTGACGCCGAAGAAGCTGGCAGACACTAAAAAGGGTGAATCACTGGATCACTCCCTGCGGGAGCAGTAGTGCGGAACTTTGCCGGTTCAACATTTTGCCACTAACTTCGTTACTCTACCGGTCGTTCTAGGTGACACCAAGCCAGTGGAGATTCAGCAAACTTTCGTGGTGCAGCGGAAGAAAGTGCGATTTGATATGTACGCTGGATATGTTCTAGCTTTACTGAAATCATGGAATCATCAGAAGCTCGCACAGTTTGATCAAATTATAACAACCATTTCTATTAGCGATACGCTGGCAAAGGACGGCAGGACTTGATCCACTGGAGCGCGGCTGGCATGGACACCACCGTGGGCTCACTGCGTGTTGCCCTGCTGGGAGCTGCAAAAGCTCAAAGTACCACCCCCCCCCCTTGGAGGAAGTTCATCTTGATGAACTGTCAAGACTGGTTGGCATAGTAGCTACCAGCTGCGATACATACTTGTTTTATGGACAATCAAAGGTGAAATTTCGAAAGGGGGCCTTGATCGACAAAGCAGGATGTTTTTCTTTGTGGGCCTACAATTTTATTCAACTGTGTCAATCCCTAAGTGCTGTAGCATTCTACTACCAAATGAAGCTTGCCAAAATGACTGTTTTTGTCAATTTTCACGTGAGCATTCCGAAAAAAGTTTGTTATATTTCAATTGAATTTAGCATAGCCCTTTTGACTATAATTGCAAACACCTGTAAAAAGTTTCAAATAGAATGACCTAGTAGGCAACAAAAAAAAATGTGACTGAATGTGCTTCCGCGAAGTCAGTTTCGGCAGAGCCATGGGCACACCAGATTGAGTTATGCCAGGGAACACTGTCATTTTCTGTGAGGGGGAAGGTTTGCTTTCTGCATGCAAAGTCTCTCCTGAAGATCTTATCTTGCAACAGACTACATACAAATGCAAGCCTAGTGTCTTAGTTTAGTGCCCCATGCTAACAACTCCATGCGCTGCACCTCAAAACGGCTTTTGCAGGCTCGCAATTGCAGAATGTGCTTACTTAAACGAAAAGAGATGGCGGCGGCCAGATGCCCTGCTTGCAATACTGTATTGGAGGTTGCCACAAGATATTTGGTTACAGTAAAATACCAAGCATCTGTTCATTCCACAACATGAGACCTCCCCTCACTTTGTACCATCTGGAAAATACTCAAATGACATACCCTCAGATATTGTGGACCTAATAAGTGTACATCCCCAAGTTTCACGTCATTATCTCCATATCTTGAGTGGGCACTTAAGTAATCAAGTAACAAAACTTGAATTACATATACACAAAGCAAATATAAAAGCAAGGACATTTCTATGCACAGTGTCAGTTTTTGTTGAATGCAGAATAGTCTAAGCAATGTAAACAATGCAAAAGTTATAAAATTGCAGGGATGCATAGTGCATTGGGTGATTGCGGCACTTAAAAACTATTGATAGCCCAAATTGCGTCTTTCAAGCATTGTGAAAAACATTGGAGTATAGAAGTGCTATTTGCAGGCCCCAATTTCAGCAGCTGGACTGCGTGCATCCTGCGAGGCAGGAAGGATCTTGAGAAACTCCACTGCCGAAATGAATGTCCCTGGAAGGGTGGCAGCTTCCCTGGTCATGGAGGAACCGCTACAGTTGAACCCTTTTGCCTTTGCCACCCCCACTGCAGCAGCGAGGTGCCACACAACTGCATATCTACTGCTCACAGCAGCGTGCCAGAGTCTGATGTAACATACTCTCCATCCCGCTCTGCCAAAGGTTTCAAGAGGACAATGGTTGTCTGATCGAAACCAAAACCATGCCACTCTGCTCCGTGGCAACTGGTTCCCCCAGCGTGCAATGTGCATAGTTTGTCGCATGTCGGGGTTTTTGAAAGTGGTCTATTAAGATGTGATGACTATTTTAAACTCTCCGGGTCGGTGTAGCATATATTTCGTCACAGTGAAAAAATAATTATTCGTCTGAAAGAAATTATGAAACTCTTCAGGTCGGTATAAATAATAATGCATGTTTCATGCAATTACGACACGACTTTTTTTCGTTGAAAACTTGCCATGCGGTGGATCAATCTACTATATTGAATGGTGTACAATATTAAATGTACACATTGTACATACAATACAAATGGCATAAAGTGAAAAGCCATGAAGTGGCTTTTTAATTTTTGGGTGTGAAGAAAAAGAAGGCGGCAGCAAGCAAAGGAGCCAGCTGCCAAGAACTTCACGTGCGGGTGCAGGCAACCACCAACCACCTCCACTGTTCGGCCAAAATAGGGCAGGCTACAGGAAACTACAGGGAAACTACAGGAAACTACAGAGAGGACGAGGACGGGAACAGGACGTCTGTTCCCTGTTCCCGTCCTGTCCTGTTCCCGTCCTCGTCCTCTCCGTTTTATACTTTCAAGTTTTGTATCTATTAACCCACACGCTCGTTTTCAATTGTACAGGAAACTGACCGTCGACGTGTGGCTCAGTCTCCAGACTCCTGCCATCAACAAACACGCGGGCCATGGCGGGAGCTATCCCAGGTGTCTGCACAATGAGATACCAGAGAGCTCAAAATGCGAATGGATCCCAGTGGTTTTTTGTTCACCACCCTGAAAGAGCCCATTCAAAATCATGTCCTATCTCTAGACTTTCAGGCTTATGACCACCTTAAAAAAAACCTGAGGACAAGCGGCTCCTGAAGGACGTTGGTCAGATGTCCCCCCTTGAGGCATTACACAGTGTCCATCAATTTTGTCCCGAAGTCCCAAGCATTTCCTATGGCTGGAATGCTTGCAGGTAATATCAATATTTGTTTACACATATGTTCCATTATTTAAGGGGGGAGGCTGGTCTTTAACTTTTGTTTTTTTATTTCTCATTTATCGTGCTGGAATTTAGTACAGTAGAACCTCGTTGATACGTTCTTGGTTGATACGTTTTCCTGTCCGTTGCGTTCAAAAACGCCGGTCCCGTTTTACTTCCATAGAGATACATGTATTAGTTTCCTGCCTGTTACGTTTGCTTTCCCGGTTGTTACGTCCAAAAGTGCCGGAATCGCGGCGCCTCGGCGCGCCGTGCGCCAAGGTGCCACGCCGGCTTCGAAGCGAAGCGAAGCAGAGCCGGACAGCCGAACCACGCAGCGCGCATCGCGCGGCCGCGCGGCACGCGGGCGCCCTCCTTCCCTTTACTCCTTTCCCCCTCTTTCCCGGTCTCCTCACTGGGCTTTGCCGCTTTGCTGAGCTCTGCGAAAACGCTCGTTCTCTCTTGCTCTTTCTTTTCATCTGTCCTCTCTCTCCGGCGCGAGTTGTTTACGCGCCGCACGCACGCCGCGACGGCTGCACTTCCAGTTTCTGTTCCGCTCGACAGCTCGACTGCGTGAACAGTGCCGTTTCTGAGTGCGTGCGCGTTGACGACGGCCATGACATCCCGAAAGAGAAAAGCACTCTCTTTTAAAGAGAAGTTTGACATACTTCGCACGGTGGATCGAAATCCCAGCCGGAAGAGGTCTGAGGTCGCAAGAGAGCTGGGACTCGCGCCGTCAACTTTAAACAGTATCGTCGCGAGACGAAAGGAGATCGAGGCGAAGGCTCCTTTCTACCAACCAGGCTTTAAACAGGCTCGGGGTGCAAAACACGCAAAGTTAGAGGAGGCCCTGTTGGTATGGTTCAAACAAGCCCGGGCATCTTGTGTCAACATCGACGGAGGCATTCTGCGAGAGAAGGCGCAAGAGATTGCTGATCGTTTGGATATCGCGGACTTTACGTGTTCCAACGGGTGGGTCGACCGCTTCAGAAAGCGTCACGGTATTTCGTACCGCGCGGTGAGCGGTGAAGCTGCCAGCGTTGATCCAATCTGCGTGGAAGCATTTAAGTCATCGCTGCCTTCGATCATCGCCGAGTACCACCCACGTGACGTTTTCAACGCCGACGAAGCTGGTCTTTTCTTCAATGTGCAGCCGACGAAGTCATTGAGCCTGAAAGGTGAAGCCTGCCACGGAGGAAAGAGTAGCAAGGAACGGCTTACTGTTCTACTGTGTTGCAATGAGGACGGGTCAGAAATGATGAAACCGTGGGTGATCGGGAAGTTCCGTAACCCGCGATGTTTAAAGAACCTTCGTCGGATGCCCTGCCACTACCGAAATAACACTCGTGCATGGATGACAAGTGCTCTTTTCGAGGAGTTTCTGCGATACCTTGACTCACGAATGGGGTCGCAAAACAGAAAGGCACTCCTGTTCATCGACAACTGTCCAGCCCACCCAAAGGAGTTGTCGTTTCTCAGGAACGTCCGGGTGGAGTATCTTCCTCCGAATGCCACGAGTCACCTCCAGCCGCTCGACGCGGGCATAATAAAAAATGTCAAGCACTTCTACCGGAAGTGGATTGTCCGGCGATCGCTTGCCATGGTGGAACGAGGTGACGCTCCGACCAAGCTCTCCATCCTAGATGCGATGCACTTTCTCGCTACAGCGTGGGACACCGTCTCTGCTACCACTGTGCAGCACTGCTTCCGCAAGTGCGGGTTTCAACGCGCGGGGCAAGTACAAGCGTTAACAAAAAACAACGCTGACGAAGATGCCGATGATTCTCAAGAAATGGAAGATGCTATGGCAAAAATGGGAGCTCCCATTACCTACTGCGAATATGCGTCGCTTGACGACAACGTCGTTACCTCTGAACCGCAGAGCATAGCGGACATTGTGGCCGACCTCACTACTGCCGACAACGAAGAAAGTGATGAAGAAGACGAGCAAAAAACGAACGGTGACGCTGCACCCACGTTTGCGGACGCGATCGCTGCGTTGGACACCTTGCGCCGCTACGTAAACGTTCATGACTGCGCGGAGAGTGAGAGGGGACTGCGGCTTCTGGAGAAACGACTTTTACTGCATACCATTAATTCGAAGCGGCAGGTGGATATTACGCGCTTTTGTGAACGTGTTTGAGTCCAAAAGGGTTCGGTGAGTGCATAAAATAAACCGTTGCATAAGAGCTGCTTTCTATCTTATATAGAGTGCCTTTAAGTGCGTTATCGGTTGCTGCGCTTTCCCGGTTGATACGCTTTTTTTCCGCGGTCCCCTGAAAAACGTATCAACGAGGTTCTACTGTATACTGATGTATTTCTCTGTGGTGATTTCAAATATGCAATTTGTTTTGAGATAGCTCTACTAGATCTTGAGTTATTTATAAATTTGTAATTTTAATTAGGTCCTCCTTACGGGTCGTTACCATAAAATTAGTCAAAATATATCAGAAATTTTTATAGAATTGCATTCACCAAGATATGTTTTGTGCGGTGATGCTATTTTAACACTGATTTCGTGATATTTCATCGGTAAAAAACATTTGCAATCAAGTTGCATAAAACGGGAAGCTATATCTTTTTGAGACTAATTAATTAAAATTATTGTATATATAAAGCAGCAAAAACAGCATCACTGCACAAAACATGTCTCGGTGAATGCAATTTTATAAACATTTTTGATATATTCTAAAAAAATTTATGCTAATGACCCGTAAAGAGGACCTAATTAAAATGACAAATTTATTGGCAACTCAAGATCTAGTAAAGCTATCTGAAAACTAATTGCATATTTGAAATCACCACTGAGAAATACATCACTATACTAAATTTCAGCACGATAAATGAAAAATAAAAAAACAAAAAGTTAAAGACCAGCCTCCCCCCTTAAGCAATACCGTTCAGTTCATTGATTAAACCTAAAAACCTGAAATACATTATGCCTGGTAATCAGGTGCAGTGATCTCTTGTGTGCATACACACATTTGTACCCCAAAAAGCGTTAATGATGCAAGCTCTCCATTATAACGAGACTTAAATGCATGTAATTGCCTAATTCATCCCAGAAAATGCCAATTTATAGCAGGGTATCCAATCACGTTTGCCCATGGCAGGTAGCAGTGGTTTTGCTGCCTGCCTGTCGAGCAGATCGCCCTTCCCCACAATGTATCATCCACCTCAATATTTTATTAACGGTGGACGAGTTGTCACCGATCTAGCAACTATACAATGCCCCTGATCGTCATATTAGTCAGATGGCCATGGCATAAAGCATAAATACAAATCTCTGCGAAAAAAAAAATCATTGCTGCATTGGTGAAAGAAGACCAAAAGTTGTTACACACATCAACTGCCCCCCCCCCCCCCCCCCCTTGAAAATGATCAGATAACCACATCTCAAACATTTCTGGGGAGAACCCTGTACCCATTGTAAGGGTGTCCAAATTTACAAAACATTACTGCATCCGAATTACCAAGGATTAGATAAAAGTGGCACGCTTACAAAATTGTTCTGTATTGGTCCTTTAAAAAACTTTAGGTTTTACATTTTACCAATTTAGTGGAAGGGTTATATGTCTTTTTTAATTTGTTAGGAGTACTGCAACTAGCCTCCACTTGCACATACATCACTATCATAATGTCCATGTTCAGGCTTATCAATTTAGTTTTGCCACAAACACAAATACCTAAAGGGGACTTGTACCGGGGTGAGATTTACATACAAACATTCTTGCAAAACCATTCACTTATAAGAGAGTGCTAATTATTGACCAAAATATATAGCACTTATTGCTGGCACATTTCATTTTCAACGAATAATCACCATCCTGCAGGACCCAGCTTGCAATCTTGCACTACAATGAAAACTCTGACCACTACAAAGCTGTCACGCAACAGGGCAATCCACGTTTCACTGTGACCACATTGAAGGCACAGAAGGAACACGCCACAGCGCGTGAAAAGAAAACGAATCCTACGCATGGTAAGTGTGGCTCCAGATCCAGGCTAAAGCCTTGCACAGTGCATAATAAAATGTTATCATGCACCTGCTTCAATTTCAGAGTATGTTGGAAAGCTAATCCAGGAAATGATGGCCGGCAACAAGCAGTACACATTCCTCAATGAGGTGGCAATGACCAACAAGCACATCTTTCCGGCGCCCACGTATGCCACCTTCACGAGGCCTTCTAAAAGGGAACTTGAAGAAGGTCCCGGTTCGGCCAGGATCCAAGTAAGTTCTGATGATGACAACTGAATCTAGCCGCCCTAAGTATCCCTAAAAACCAAAAAATAGTCATACGATGATTATTTCTTCTATAAAAAGGTAATTGGTGGTGACCAATGAAACCGCTCTCATTGATCACCGCTTGCATATAAAAACGATTTCGGGCCAATGGCATTGGACGAAGTTCCTTCGCGCGGTAATCCCGAGGTAGCCGCACCAGGCAAACTTCTTTGTCATTTGAGCTTCGATCATGGCGGAGTTCTCTATGCTCGAGGACCTGACGCCGCTAGAGGTTGGAATTCTTCGGCAGACAGCCGACTAGGGGATGATTTCCTACGACGCCACTCCGAAGTGCAATGTAGACGATAGCAGCGCTTCTGAGTCGTGTTCGGGTTTTGAGGACGAGCAGGCGGCCATGTTCGAGGACGAAGACGGCGCCTTCAAGGAGACGGGGCAGATCGACAACACCGACTGATGGGTGATACGTTGTTTATTTTACCACTGTATGTGTCATTTATGCCTGCTCTCTCTTTCTTTTTTCTCAAGGCGCCATGCGGATGCTGCGCGCAGATGCTGACAGCTGAAGAGTGCGTCTGCTGCCGCGAGTACCCAGCCGCCGCCTCGAAGCAACCTGACTGCCTAACAGGCAACCTGCATTTCGAGACAGTGTGCTTGAATCCGGGGGTGCTGGAGGTCACCTACCTCATGATGCGCCCGATACCGCCACGAGGGAATGGGCATAACAACGCACGAGTGAGTTCAACGCCGTAATTTGCTGTTCGGCGAACTTGCAAACGGGCGCCAGCAGTAAAACGTTAAACAGCTACTTTACCATCTGTTTCAGTGAGAGTTATGCACGTTACTTTTCAATGTGAAGCCGCATTAGTGGTTGCATCGCATTTTTTACTTGCATTTCGTGCCATGTTTCTTTGTGAAGTTGTGGGTCATCATAAAGTAAAATGTTCAAAACCTCGATTGCTGCATCAGTATCTCTTGCTTCAGAACTAGTTTGTGAGACTTGGTTAGCTCCAGTTTAGCCTATCCCTAATATTATGTTCACACTATGCACCCAACGGGCGTAACTTTCGCAACAAACGTCAGTGCAACGTGCATAAACGCTACGTTCAGGGTACACTGCTGAACGCAGCGTTCACACCCATTGGAGTAGTGCGCTCAAGTTTCGCCTCTGACTGCTGTGCCACTCGAGCCCCCCGCAGGATGCCTCCGAAGTTTTGGTATACCCATTTTCTCCTCGGTAGCAGCGACAGCAGTGGTACCAGCTAGATGGACACAATCTAGAACTTGCTCTGCTCCTCGGGTTATTTTATATAGGTTGCTGCTCGAGGCACGAGGGCCCGCTGCAGCACTTTTTTTTGTCTCTGCTCATAGAGCCCAGAATCTGCAGTTCTACTAAGTTGTGGTTATTCTTTCTGGCATTACCGCTACGCCACCTACAGGCAGTGCGTCCTGTGGCTGTGGCGGTGCCTTGGCCGGCACAACGCCCCTGATCGTCATATTAGTCAGATGGCCATGGCATAAAGCATAAATACAAATCTCTGCAAAAAAAAAAAAGATCATTGCTGCATTGGTGAAAAAAGACAAAGTTGTTACACTTCAGTTACACCACTTTTCTTGTCTCGCTATTCTTCGTTTCACTATATATATATACTGGGTGTTCATTTTTAATTCAAACAGATTTATTACAAAAAATCTGTAAAAGATGCACTGATACGGTTAGTTCAAGTGGGTTATACGGCCAGGCGGACATTATGTGTTTGGCTAATCTTTGCGATAAGTCGGCTAATTAATTAAAATTCGTTAATTAACTTTGTAATTTGTGGAACTAGACATATGGTTCCAATTAGAAACTTGCCGAGCGTCATCCAAAACCTCTAATTCAGTCATTTTCAGAAAGACTTTCAGCGCGTGAGAAGCGTAGTAGTGCACTAAAGTTACCACTCGTGGAGCAGGTATAAAGCTAGCGGTTGCGGTAAGGCGACTGCGCAATTTTTCCGTCTCTTATCTAGCCCCAGCCTTGTACCTGCTCCATGAGTGGTAACTTTAGCGCACTACTCTACTTCTCACGCGCTCCAAGTCTTTCAGAAAATTACTCATTTAGGGGTTTTGGATGACGCTCAGCAAGTTTCTAATTGGAACCATATGTCTAGTTCCACAAATTACAAAGTTAATTAACGAATTTTAATTAATTAGCCGACTTATCGCAAACATTAGCCACACACATAATGTCCGCCTGGCCGTATAACCCACCTGAACAAACGCTATCAGTGCATCTTTTACAGATTTTTTTGTAATAAATCTGTTCGAATTAAAAATGAACACCCGGTATATATATATATGCAAAAGTAATGTGCGCAGACACAGCAGCCGTAGGATGATAAAAATAAAATTCTAATTTAATGGCGAAAAAAGTCACGCAAGAAAAAAGGGTGAAGTGCCGAAAAAAAGTATTAGTTTACGGGAATAATGAAGACTAGGCACAAGAACGCTAATTATGCGGGAAAGAAACTTTTAAGAAGGTCAGAGTAAAAATCAAAGCTAAAACACAAGAACTTACAAAAATAAATTGTTAACTGAAAAATAAAATAAAGAATTAAAACTTCAAAAAGATGTTTTGATGCATTGTAGACGCAAAGACCCGATGGTAAAAAAAGTAACCTAAAACCCGACGAGAAAAAAGTCTGGAGAACCTTCAACAAAGAAACGACATTGTGATCAAGCCGGCGGACAAGGGAGGGGCCACAGTCGGAATGGATACCGCCATGTATAAAACAGAAGCCCTGCGTCAACTCAGTGACAAAAACTTTTATACCGCCCCAACTTCTGATCCGACTGCTAACTATGCAGCTACCATCGCCCGGGTCCTAAGGCGCTTACATAAAGAGAACAAAATAGATGACCACCTTTTAAGCTTTCTCACTCCCGACTGCAAACCAGGTCGCTTTTATCTCCTACCCAAAATTCACAAACCAGGAAACCCAGGCCGACCTATTGTCTCGTCGAATAGCACTGCGAGTGAAAACTTGTCAAATTTGGTAGATTACCTCATTAAAGATCTCC